CCAGCATCTTATTCAGCATTCAATCAAATCACAATGTTTTTGTAGGTAGTTCTTAAATTTCTTCCAATCCTCCTCGATTCTCTCTTCTCCCAGGTCACGGATTCTGCCGGTCATTTCAGCCAGTTGCATATAGTCTATGTTAGTTGACACGACCCCGTTCATGTCTCCCATCATTATGATGTTGTTGTAATCCAGATGATCCAGCATTGTCCCCTGCAACTTCTTGTAAAATTCCGATTTCCCTTCATTAGGCGCATAGATTCCTAATATCAGCAGTTTCTCTCCTTGATATTGTATCTCAATAGCCAAAATCCTTCCATGCTCATCTTTAAATAGAAATTTAGGTGACAGGCTCTCTTTTGCATATATCACCACTCCTCTCTTCTTCACTTTATCCGACGAAATAAATTCCTGGCCCAATCTTTTATTTATTAACACTTTTCTGTGGAGCCTCGTCACATGTGTTTCTTGTAAGCAAATAATGTCCAATTGTTCTTTTTAATATATGAAATATTTTCTTCCTTTTCTCCGGAATATTGCAACCATTAATATTCCAACTCAACAGTTGCAGAGACATCCTGGATCTATCTGGTTATTTCTCCTGGGGTGGTGTCTTCTCTTGATCTTCAAGTTCCCGAGGTGGAGGTATTGATGCTGGCTTTGCCTCAGGCCCGGAAGGTAGTTCAATTCCTTTATGTAGGTCCTCTCCGTGTGTAGCCAAAATTTATCTCTCTCTTCCAATGTTCTGATTTTAACCTTTCTCGCTCTAAAGGTAAAAGATAATCCTTGGGGAAAATCCCACCTGAATGGAATTGCGTTGCTCCTTAATAGTTTAGCAAGTTCGGAATAGGCGGCTCTAAGGTCCAACAGTTGTCTTGGGATATCTTTATATATCTCAATTCTTCTATCCAAAACTTCCAGTGACTTTTCGTAATGTAGGCCCAAAATCTTATCCCTTTCCTCCTTCGATCTCAATGTAATCAAACAATCCCTGGGCCTCTCCTTCTTTGTAAATCTTCCAAGTCTGAAAGCTGACACAATTTTAAAGTCCTTTTCTTCCAAATTCCAGAACTTGGAAAGTTCTTTGGTCAAAAACTCAGTTAGATTTCCTTCTTCTGCCTCTTGTAATGATCTAATCCTCAGATTATTCTCACGATTTCGCAGTTCTATCATAGAAAGATAAGTCTGATGTTCCCCAACTTGTTTAGTGAGTGGTCTTACCTCTTGCTCTAAATTTTCCAATTTTTGTCTGGTATCCTCAGCCAATTTTCGGTTTTCTACTGAGGCCTCCGTCAACTGTCCAATTGCTTGTGTATTCTGTCCCACCTGTGTAGTTAATTTGTTTAGACAATCTGTATTTTTATCAATCTTTGCTGATTGCGCATCTACTTTCTTGTCCAAAGCTTCCAATTTTTCAAAGATTTTTCTAGCACAGAAACAGATGCTCCTGAGGCCATATCTTCCAATTGTAACTGCTCTACTTCACCCTCTCCCTCTTTTGCCTGTGACAAGGCAGCTTCTTCAAGTTGTACTTCTGAGGGCAAAGTAGGCACAGATGATCTACGTGTCTGCGAGGTTGAGGTTAGATTTGTTAGAGTTGTTTGTCTAACTCTTCCTCTTCTTCTTGTACCACTCATTCCAATGTTATCTATCAGTCAAGGTCACACTGAGTTTTTCCCACAGGAATAGAGAGGCCCAGAGCAAGCAGACAGCAAGAGAATCGAAAGTAAATGTTTTTATAAAGTCACTGTTTTAATCCAATCCTCTAGGGGGAGCTTAAAGTGTCTTTTCAGAGTCTAATTTAATGTCCCAGAACCTTCCAATATAAGTATTAAGCAGAGTTTAAAAGTAATCACTTTGTTGCAGACAGTGCTTATTTGTCTCCAAAAAGAATGTTTCAAATTTAAAAGGTCTCAATACCCTCAGATTGTTGCAACTTCTAATATACAGTATCCAAGTCAAACACTGACAGCCCACTGTTACAGTGCTCAGGCAATCCTGACTCTGGGTTTCACCTTCCAATTTGTAATCCAATAAAAGGGGGAAGTCAAGTGCAAATAAAAGGTCCAAATCTTTAACTTGCTAATTTTACTTTAAATTGTAAGTTCCATAGATGCTTGGCTGTGTAGAGTTTAAAATCTCTTTCTTTCAGCCTCCACTCCTCCACCTTAGTTGCTTTTTTTCCAAGTTCAATGGCAGCGGAAAAGTTTTATCCCTCATAACACTAGAACTCGTGGACATCCAATGAAGCTGAACATTGGAAGATTCAGGACAGATAAAATAAAGAACTTCTTCACACAGCACATAGTTAAACTATGGAACTCACTCCCACGGGAAGTGGGGTTTACAGCCAAATCACAAATGCTTGTTTTGCTAGACAGGCACAGGGCTACTACATGGAGAGTTCTTAAGCTTCCTAGAGAGGATCCTCTGTGTGGTCACTTCCCCTTCCTCCTCTGGGCAGGAATTCTGTAACAAAGGAGAATTCTACAACAAAGCAGATAATCTTTTATACTTTTTCCTGCTTCTGAGGAGATTGTCTCTCCACCATGCTTCCAAGCTAATCAGGTGTGTGTCATGGGGCTCCAGATACACACAACAAATTCAGTACTTTAGTATTTTGTACCTGAGAGGTATTGTATTTGCTGCCTGCATTGAAATGCAGATAAACCTTTGTTGTTGTTGTTTATCTTACAAAAACATGTGGTTCATTCTCTGCAGTTGAGGGGAAGAGGGGCAGGTCAGGAGAGCACAAATAAATGGGATAAAGAGGTGTAATTGCCTTATTCCTAAGCTTTAGTAAGCTGCAAAACATAGAAGAAAGGCTTCACAGCCCTCTTACTTTTCATATTTCTCTTACACATGTGGGATAGGAGGTGCATTTTAATCCACAGATTTAATCCTCACTCCATCTCTTAAACAGAAGGAAGTGATGGCCACAAGCATGGATGGCTTAAAAGGGACTGGAGAAATTCATGGATAAAGTTATCAATGCCTACTAGCCACAATGGCTATCATCTGCCTCCATGCCCAGAGACATTAATGCTTCTGAGCACCCGTTGTTGGAAATTGCAGGAAGGGAGAGAGCTCATGTGCTCGGGTCCTGCATGTGGGTTTTCCACAGACATCTGGTTGGGCACTGTGAGATCAGGATGTTGGACTAGATCAGGGGTCAGCAAACTTTTTTCGCAGGGGGCCATTCCACTGTCCCTCAGACCTTGTGGAGGGCCAGACTCTCTCTCTCTCTGAATTCCTATGCACACTGCACATACCCACCCCCACCCCCAGCAGCCTTCTCAGTTTGCTGCTTGCCTCATTCGCTGGTGGTGGTGGCACAAAACAGGCTTCCTTCCTGCCTAGAGAAAGAAGGCGCTGCACTTACCTTCCCAGGGGCTGCCGCTGCTGCTGTCACCGCTTCTTCTTCTTGTGAAGTGGGTAGGCAGAGTGAGCTTGTCCACTCCGCTCTCCGACCCACAGGAGCACCAGGGTGGCAGTGGCGGCGGCGGCGGAAGAGGCCGAGTGGCGGCTCTGCCAATCAAATGCCACGCCTGGTTTACCTCAGCGTGGTGCGGGGATGTCTTTGCCAATCAAATGTGGCTGAGGTAAACCAGGTGCAGCATTTGATTGGCAGAGACGTCCCCACACCATGCTGAGGTAAACTAGGCGTGGCGTTTGATTGGCAGAGCTGCCATCGCTCGGCCTCTTCCTCCCGTCGCCATCGCCGGGAGACTCAGAATCACGGTGGGTTCCGGCTTCGCGTTGTGGGCCAGATTTAGGACCCAGGTGGGCCTGATCTGGCCCGGGGACCATAGTTTGCCGACCCCTGGACTAGATTGACCATTGGTCTGATCCAGCAGGTTCTTCTTGTGTTCTTATGCATGAGGATTTGAAGCTGGTTTTCACTAGATAAGGTCATAGCTGCCTCAGTAGGGAACAAGTTCTCAAGAAACACTGGATAAAAACAACAACTAGGCATTGTTGGCCAGGACTCTGCTGTGCAAAGAGAACATCCATGTGGAAAGTGAGCAGAATGAAATAACTTTAACTGATTAATCATCTGCTATGCAATCAAGTCATTGATTAATCAATCAATCATTTTGAAATGGCTCTGCATCTTACAAAACAAGAAGAAAACCCTAAATGAAGTTGCCTGGTTTGAAATATGGATGTATGCGAAAGGCAACTTGCAATTTAATAAATACAAGTTGGAAATAGCTGTTTATAATTCCTCCCTCTTTATTTCTTGCTAAAGTAATTCAGATGGATTAAAATCTCAGAAAATAAAAGGGTACTTTTAATTTGTACCCACACACTGATTAAAACATCCCCTCACCATTTAACATCAGCTTCATCAGTTAATCAACTATCACTTCAGTTGATTAACTTATTTAATCTAATTGCAGCTGCTTTCTTGGTTCCATATAAGGGGGAAAGCTAGACAGTTTAAGAAGTGAAATGTATAGAATTGCTCTTTCTGTGGTGAGGAATTGCAGATTGGGAGAAGTAACTTGGTGTTTATTTACTCATTCATTCAGAGCATACAGTTAGAGAAGCTTACAAATAAATAAAAGATAACATAGTCCTTGCCCTCAGGCTTGCAATCTAAAAAGACCTGACATGAAAGGAAAAGGGGATGGGAAGGGAAGAAGAAAAGAAGCAAACTCAGACATCAAATTTGCCAAGACACAAGGTTCTCTCCACCACTACCCTGGCTCGCTTACATAACAATCTGAGCATCCTGCCAGCATCTGGAAGTGTATCGATATGACCTTGGAGGATCAGTCTGCATGATACCCTGGGTTCCTTCCAAAGCTGCGATCCTGTGTATATGGGCTAGAATCTATAAGAGGAAATCGGCCAGTCCAGTTCCTTGTTAATGTCTTTGGCTGGCCGGTTAAGCCCTGTGATTCACAAGCCTAAAGAGGTTGCCATAGAGACACATGGGTGAGCCTTTTCTCACCTCAGCTGGCTTGATGCCACATTATCCCAGGAGACAGAACAATAGGTCAAGAGGGACTGTGTATGTGAGCAGTGTGTGTGTGTGTGTGTGTGTGAGAGAGAGAGAGAGAGAGAGAGAGAGAGAGAGAGAGAGAAGGAGAGTTTGGCTGATGCTGGATGCTGGTGAGTCAAAATAAACATTTGCTCTGTGCTGGACTTTGGGCCTCTCCTGGAAGCAAGCAAGATCTGTTGGAAGGTTAACAAGTCTTGCAGTCAAAGAGGATGCTCCCAGATTGCATGGGACAAAACTGGGCAGCGGTTTGAGGAGAAGACCTGAGAGGCAGGATGACTGCAGAGGATGCTTATTTAGGAGAACTGGCGTTGCAGGGTCAGCCGAGCAATGGAGACCTGTGAGGGGGAGCCCAGCCTGTAAAGGAGACCTCTGGGTATAGGGTGGTATATAAATTCTATTATTATTATTATTAATAATAATAAAAATAATAAGGTGAAAAGGGAAGGGAGCCTGACAGAGTGAGTTGCTTTGGCCAGAGAAGTGAGTCCCCCCCAGGCATCCACCAGCCTCTCTAATCAGTGCCACTAGCTCCGAGGGGAGGAAAACTCCGGCTGGTGCTCTCATGTAGCATTAAAAAGGACAAGCAGTCTGTCAGGGGGAGAGAGGCCTTGGTGGGGGGATTGCCCCCCTCCCCCTGATCATAAAGACAGCGGCATTGCAGCCTGCTTTATGTGGAGTAGTGATGTCAGCCAAGGAGGATTTCTTCTTAGGCTATGGGGCTAATCCACAGTGTCACTTCCCTATGTAAGAAAGGATGGGCTTTTCTTCTTCCTGACAGCGAGGGAGGGAGATAGGCTTGCTTATTCATTTATGCTCTTTTCCAATGAAAATGAAAAAAATACATAAGTGCTGCAAATGAGCTGCTTGGAGCCATTAGGAAGCCTCTCTTTGAAGAGTTGGCCTGAATATCTCTGGAAACTCAACTTGCTGGCGCCAGGGTGCCCAAAGAGGCGGCTGCCATTTTCTGGTGATGGCAGCAGAGCTGTGGGAGTTGAAGAATCTCCTTGTCCTCCCTCTGCCCTTCACCCTAAAAAAGAAAAAATATAATATGCTTGGGACCCAGCTATCTGGAAGTCCACTTGCTCCCTTATAGACCTGCCCAGCCCCTGGAGGCACTGGGGGATGATCTTCTCGTGGTGCCGCAGTTCTCTCAGGTACAGCATGTGGTGACTCGTGAGAGGGTGTTCTCAATAGTAACAAGCACATCAACTATGGAATGCCCTCTCCTTTCAGGTGTGAGCAGCACCACCATTGATGACAATTAACCACCAAGGATTTGACTAAGATGGTGCCCCTGGCTTGGTTGATGCAGTTATATTGCTAGTACACTGTCTGTTTTTACACTGAATTGAATTTACACTTATTTATTTCATTTATTTATTTCATAAAATTTATACAATGCCTGATTGTAGAAAGAAAACCTCAAAGCAGTATACCAAAAGATAAAATAAGAAAAGCAAGAAAGATTTACAGCCATACTTTTAAAAACGCAGAAAAGTTATTACTAAAACAGATTAAAATTACCTCAGCTTTCTAAGCATGTGGGTAGCCTTGTCTAAACAAGAATGTTTCAGCAGGCACCAGGAAGGGTAAAGTGAAGGTACAGTGGTACCTCGCAAGACGAATGCCTCGCAGGACGGAAAACTCGCAAAACGAAAGGGTTTTTGGTTTTTTGAGTTGCTTCGCAAGACGATTTTCCCTATGGGCTTGCTTCGCAAGACGGAAACTTCTTGCAAGTTTGTTTCCTTTTCTTAAAACCGTTAATACAGTTGTGACTTGACTTCGAGGAGCAACTCATAGCACTCGGTGTGGTAGCCTTTTATGAGGTTTTTGAAGACTTTGGTGATTTTTGAAGCTTTTCCAAAACTTTTCCGACACCGTGCTTCGCAAGACGAAAAAAACCGCAAGACGAAAAAACTCGCGGAACGAATTAATTTCGTCTTGCGAGGCACCACTGTACCTGCTGGATTTCAACAGGCAAGGAGTTCCAAAGTGAAATACAATTTTCTTGTATTGTTTTCATGTTTGTTTTTGCTCTAGAATGGTGTAAACCAGGCTTCCTCAACCTCAGCCCTCCAGATGTTTTGAGACTACAGTTCCCATCATCCCTGACCACTGGTCCTGCTAGCTAGGGATCATGGGAGTTGTAGGCCAAAGACATCTGGAGGGCTGAGGTTGAGGAAGCCTGGTGTAAACAGTGAGTAGCATATTATCTTTTTTCTTTTTTAGGGTGAAGGGCAGAGGGAGGACAAGGAGATTCTTCAACTCCCACAGCTCTGCTGCCATCACCAGAAAATGGCAGCCGCCTCTTTGGGCACCCTGGCTCCAGCAAGTTGAGTTTCCAGAGATATTCAGGCCAACTCTTCAAAGAGAGGCTTCCTAATGGCTCCAAGCAGCCCAGAAGATTTTTTTTTAAAATTATTTTTATTCAATTTCCAATACAAAATTTAAACATACATTTTCAATATTATCACAGATACGTAATTTTGACTTCCTTCAGCTCATCCGCGAATCTTCCATTTTCTAATCTTCTATCCGCAATTCTAAATTTAACATTGCCTTTTATTTTAAATAAACCTATTCCCTTATTCCATTTTTTACAGTGTTTCTAATATTCTGGACCCAGAAGATTGACCTGGGGACTGAGATGAGGCTGTGGGCACTTGGGACATCTTCAAGGCAGTGGAGTGAAAACTTTCCCCAGAAGAAAATGGACACACTTGAGCCCTTCTGCTGATCATAGGTGCCTGCGAAAGGATTAATTGTAGTGTTGTGGGTCTGAGGGTGGATCTGATTACACAGATGGATGAACTTGTCAATTATTATTTTCCTCAGTTTTTCGTTTTTCTTCTCTGAAATTCTCAACCCATTTCTGCATCAGTTTGGGTTTTGCTCCCCTGCACATATTTGCAGACAATGTTTCCTTAACATATTGCATTTTTAGTATGTTAGTTTCACAAACATATGCATTTGTGTTTGTTAATCTCCCCCAACATATGTTTTCTGGCATGCATTTCTTGGTTGGAGAACTGTGTTGCAATATTCAGGGAACTGCAAATTTCAAAGGGTATCTTTTGGCTGGCGTACTAGTTTGCCTAAAAATGTGAACTGAAGTTCTTGTCTCACATCCCAAATGTCTGAATGAGAAGAGGATCTCTTCTAACCCAGTGACTTTTGACTGTAAAATATCTAGATGCAGCAAGAGTGTGGGAACTGCACTGACAATTAAGTGCCCAGGGATGCCCAGTGTTAGCTTGTGGTTATTATTTCAGTTTGTACCCTTGGGATTGGAGGAGAGAGGTGTATGTGTGTTTGTGCAGAGAGAAAGACTCATCCTTTTGTCCCTCGCCCGGCCAGGGGGAGGGGACAAGCTAACCCTGTAATTCTGAGATGAACAAAGAAATACAGTAGGCTTAGTTGATCCCTGGAAGTATCTGACGGAGCTGGTGGCCTCCTAAAATGTAATGGGGAAAGAAGTAACTACAGTGGTACCTCGGGTTACATACGCTTCAGGTTACAGACTCTGCTAACCCAGAAATAGTACCTTGGGTTAAGAACTTTGCTTCAGGGTGAGAACAGAAATCGTGCTCTGGCTGCGCGGCAGCAGCAGGAGGCCCCATTAGCTAAAGTGGTGCTTCAAGTTAAGAACAGTTTCAGGTTAAGAACGGACCTCCGGAACGAATTAAGTACTTAACCCGAGGTACCACTGTACTGGAGTGTTAATGCCATGATCTGACCCTTACCATGTATTTATGCATAAATAAAACCTGCTGCACCGTGAGTGTTGGGGAAGGCCGCTCCCTCTTCAGGCTGATTCCACCAGGCCTAGGGGGCGGGGCCCAGACTCACCTTCGCCACAGCTTTAAGAAGCCTCACTGAGGCATTGGGACATCGCTGCTGCTGCACCGTGAGTGTTGGGGAAGGCCGCTCCCTCTTCAGGCTGATTCCACCTGGCCTAGGGGCGGGGCCCAGACTCACCTTCGCCACAGCTTTAAGAAGCCTCACTGAGGCATTGGGACATCGCTGCTGCTGCACCGTGAGTGTTGGGGAAGGCCGCTCCCTCTTCAGGCTGATTCCACCTGGCCTAGGGGCGGGGCCCAGACTCACCTCCGCTACAGTTTTAAGGACACTGGTGCTGCTGCAGCAAATGTTAAAAATGTTTTTATATATTTTAAAGTATTTTAAAGGTGTTTTTACTTTTTACTTTATTGTACCACCGTGAACAGTGGTTTTTATCTATGTATTTTTATTTTGTTCTGTTTTATTGTGGTTTGGGGTGGGGATTGGTTTTGTTTACGTAGAATTGTTTTCAGTTTGGTTTGGTTTTCTATTTTGTAAATGGAGGCTTGTATGAGGCTTGGGATTGCTACCGTGGAGGGGCGAGGGAGGTATGGTGGTGGGGGCAGATGTTATAGGCGAAGGGGATCGAGATACGGATATGCTCGTACCCCTTCCAATCTGCGCCCCATCCCGAGGGACGAGGGTAGGGTGAGCAAGGATTACTCACCTCCGTCACTGGTGTTGTGCAATGCCAGGTCTATAGGCAACAAAACCGCCACTCTGCGAGATTTCTTTACCTCGCAGGGGTTGACCTGGCTTGTGTGACGGAGACCTGGGTGCACGCGAAGGGGCAACAGTTACCTTACGAGAGATGGCGCCCCGGGTTTCTCCGTCCTCCACCAGTCACGGACTGTGGGCCCCCCCCGAGGGGTGGCATTATTAATCCGGGAAGATTGTCCTTTCAGGGCTCTACCATCGCCATCGATCCCCGGCATTGAATGTGTTGGCCTAGTGTGGGGCTCTGAGGTGAGCTTGGCTGTCTGGCTGGTGTACCGGCCACCTAGCGCACCAGCAGCCACCCTGTCAGGCCTACTGGAGGCGGTGGCCAGCTGGGCCTTGGAGTTCCCTAACCTATTGGTATTGGGGGACTTCAACATCCATGCTGATGCCACTCCCTCCTCACAGGCTCTGGACCTGGTGTCTTCCATGGCAACACTAGGGCTCTCCCAGTTTGTTTCAGGCCCCACACATCAAGCAGGCCACACGCTGGATTTGATCTTTGGCGTAGGTATAGATGTGATCATGTCTCCTTCAATTAAGGTGCCATGGTCTGAGCACTACGCTCTGAAAGCCAGGATTGACTTTCCACCCCCACCCTGCTTAGGTGGCGAGCCGATTTGGGCTCGCCCGCAGAGGCTGATGGACCCTGATAGATTCCGTCAAGCCTTGCGGGACCTTGCTCCCCCTGGCGACTCATTGACTGAGCTTGTTGAGAGCTGGAATACCCAGCTCCTGGCAGCCATAGATGAGATCGCACCTAAGCGCCCTCTGCGACTCCGCAGAAACCGGGCTCCCTGGTTTACCGAGGAGCTTCGGAAAATGAAGCGGGACCTCAGACGGCTAGAGCGAGTATGGCGGGGTGCCCGTGACGGAGCCTCAAGAACATCTTATAGGGTTTTTATGAAAACCTATGAGATGGCGGTGAAGGCCGCTAAGAAGTCTTACTTCTCGGCCTCCATTGCATCCGCTAGCTCTCGCCCGGCGCAATTATTTAGTATAATTAGGTCTTTAACGTCCCTTGAAGGACAGCCAAATTTAAATAACAATCTGACACACAGCTGTGAGGCATTTGCGAGCTTTTTTGCGGAGAAGGTCCTGTTGCTCCGCCATGACCTCCCTGCCAATTTGGATACAATAAAGGAACTGGAGGCCCCTCGACTGTCCTCTGGTCCAGTATTGGACCACTTTGATCGGATATCCCCAGCCGATGTGGACAGACTCCTCCGAGCTGGAAAGCCCACCACCTGTCCTCTTGACCCGTGCCCGTCTTGGCTGATTAGAGCGTGTCCAGACGAGGTGCGGGCCCCCTGGGAGATATCATCAATTTGTCCCTTGGCACCGGGATATTTCAGGGGAATTGAAGGAGGCAGTGGTGCGCCCCCTCTTAAAGAAAACATCATTAGATCCCTTAGATCTATCCAATTACCGCCCGGTTTCGAACCTTCCATTCCTGGGTAAGGTGATTGAGAGAGCGGTTGCTGAACAGCTTGGTAGGTTTCTGGATGAAACATCGGCTCTGGATCCATTCCAGTCTGGCTTCCGCGCTGGTCATGGGACCGAGACGGCTCTGGTCGCCCTAACAGATGATCTCCGCAGGCAGCTGGATCGAGGCGGGTCGGGGCTGCTGATTCTTCTAGACCTGTCAGCAGCCTTCGACATGGTTGATCACGAACTCCTGGACCACCGCCTTGCCGACGTGGGGATCCAGGGCACAGTCCTTCAATGGCTGCGCTCGTTTCTCTCCGGTCGGGGACAGAGGGTGGCGCTTGGGGGAATTGTCATCCCGCCACTCCTTGGTGTGTGGAGTGCCTCAGGGTGCGATACTCTCCCGATGCTTTTAACATCTTTATGCGCCCCTCGCCCAGCTTGTCCGGAGTTTTGGGCTGGGTTGCCATCAGTATGCCGATGACACCCAACTCTATCTGTTGATGGATGGCCATCCTGACTCGGCCCCAGACACACTGACCAGATGTTTGGAAGCTGTGGCTGGATGGTTACGCGGAAGCCGGTTGAAGTTAAATCCTTCGAAGACAGAGGTCCTCTGGCTGGGACGGGACGATATGGGATTGGGGGCAACTCCCATCTCTTGCGGGGTGCAATTAGTGCCAGCACCGTCCGTTAAGAGTTTGGGTGTAATCTTCGATACCTCCCTCTCTATGGAGGCGCAGATTACAGCTATAACAAAGGCGGCATTTTTTCATCTCCGCCAAGCTAAGCAGTTGGCCCCTTATCTCTCTCGCCCTGACCTAGCCACTGTGATCCACGCGACGGTCACCTCCAGACTGGATTATTGTAACTCGCTCTACGTGGGGCTGCCCTTGAGACTGACCCAGAAACTCCAGCGGGTGCAGAATGCCGCGGCGAGACTCCTTATGGGGTCTTCGCTGCGAGATCACATTCATCCGGTACTATACCAGCTGCACTGGCTCCCGGTGGAGTACAGGATCAGGTTTAAGGTGCTGGTTTTAACCTTTAAAGCCCTATACGGCCTAGGACCCTCGTACCTACGGGACCGCCTCTCCTGGTATGTCCCACAGAGGAACCTACGGTCTGCAAATAAAAACATCCTGAAGGTCCCAGGCCTCAGAGAGGTTAGGCTGGCCTCAACTAGAGCCAGGGCTTTCTCGGCTGCGGCTCCAATCTGGTGGAACGCTCTATCACAAGAGACTAGGGCCCTGCGGGACCTGACATCTTTCCGCAAGGCCTGCAAGACAGAGTTGTTCCACCAGGCCTTTGGTCAGGGCCCAGCCTGACTCCCACCTCCGGCAACCTGCACAGAACTTTGCTTAACGGTTGCCATTAATTTGATTTTAATTAATTTTTATAATGAAATGTTTTAGAATGTTGGATTATTTGATTGTTTGATTATTTGTTTGTTGTTAGCCGCCCTGAGCCTGGCTTTGGCTGGGGAGGGCGGGATATAAATAAAATTTATTATTATTATTATTATTATTTTCATAGAAGCACCATCAGTTTCCAGTGAGCTCCATTCCAAGGAAACGGCACCACTAAAACTTCTCACTGCCCAGAAGTGGAATGCATGTGTGTAACAGAATACACCTGTGATTGATCTGAAAATGGAGACAATGAATGTGCAAAAAGAGCAAAACCTTTACCCTGTGTTATCATGGCATAGGACAAGGCTGGGGGCATCCCAGCATCCTTTGCAAGGCTATAAGGCAGCCTCCTGCAATATGGTACCTTTCAGATGTTTTGGACCACAACTCCCATCAGTCCCAGCCAGCACAATTACACGGTGCTGGGGCTGATATGGGTTGTGGTTCAGGTTGGGGCAGACTGCTATAATACAGTTTCTCTCAGATTGCATGGAGGTTCTTTATCAAGGGTGATCACCTGGGACATTAGATGGATGGGCTGGGAGACCCCCCAGATGTGCAAGGCTAATGCTGACTTTGGGTAGGGGAGAAAGTATTTGGGGAGGAAGTAGGGGATCTGGGTTGAAGTGTGGGAGCCTCTGCTGCACCGAGGAGAGCAAAAACAAAAAACCCAGCAGCTGGAAGATAATTGTTCTTGACATTATTGCATTTACTATGTAATCTTTAGTCTATTGTGTATTATATTTTATATTGCATTCAGTATTTTGTATTGCATTTCTGTTTTGTATTGTAAGGCATTTTGTGCCTTATTGTAATATAAAAGCAGGGTATAAACATCTAATCTAACATTCTCGTCCTTCGATCCAACTAATTAACATGTACGTTACAGTGAACGTCTGAAATTTAGTGCATGCTGGCAGCCCCAGATGAAGTCTGAAAACTCAAGAGTGTGAAAAATCTCTCTCTCTTTTGGATGTGTGTGTGGAATTCATCTGCGAATGGGATTGCTATTTTTCAGGCATGAAAGCTAACATTCATCAAAGCTTGGAAGTTCACTGTAATGTAATTTGGTGGCACTCTTCCTTTGTTTGAAAGTAGGATGTATATTTAGTAGGAGCCACTCAGATCAGGATTGTAACTTTATATTCCTTGTGATGTTATAATAAAGGCAATCCTTTAGTGTGGCAGGACTTATTCTCTGGAACTCCCTACCCATTGATATTAGGCAAGTGCCTTTATTGTACTGTTTTTGATGCCTGCTTAAACCTTTTTTTTTTGTTTAGACATGCCTACCTTGACATGTAATTTTATTATGTACATTTGCTTTTAAAGTGATTGATTTTTTTGTCTATATTTTGATACTTTTAGTATGTCTGCAGTTTTAAAATTTTGTATTTATCACTACTTTTAATGAATATTTTATATTGTTTTATGTAAGCCACTTAGAATTCTTCTTATTATTAAATGGTCTAGAAATCTTGCTAAAGTACAAGATCTGCCAAGCAACAGTTACTTCTCTATGGGATGGTTCAATTAAGTAAGCCGAGCATGGTTGTGAACATCTTGAGAATTGTAGTGTTTATCATTTTTAATAATATGCTCTAAATGCTTTTAAGTGGTGTTATGACTGTAGTATTGTGTTTTCTTGTTGTAGCCTCCTTGTTGTTTTTCTATGGAAATACAGTTCATAGATATTTAAATAAATCTATCAACCTACCAACATTATTTTCCTTTTGGAAAAAAAATGCTTTCCAGTGGGTCATTGTTTCCAGGATGAAGGTACCCTTCTTGGAATGAACATCACCTTAAACAGACCAGTCAAACCGCCTCAGATAAATTCTCCTAAACACCTTTGAGTCTACTTGCAAGGAAAGCTTCCATCACATAAAGAACTTGTTCAGAACTGACACTGCGCTAGAGATGGCAGATCAAACAAAAAGGTTTTACCTACCCCACTCTTTCAGCGTGAATTGTTCCCCTAAATCTTGATAATGGAACACTTCTGGCTGGCTGTAGCCCATCATCTTGACATTTGGAATACAGATATATGAGAAGCATGTCATGTTAACAGAACACTACAACAGGCATACTTTGTCTCAGTTGATGGGAGAATCGCATCATAGAGAATAATTCATACTGACAGTAAGAACTTGCAGATGGGAAATCTAAAATGGATAAGTCATTATAGAAATTTATTGGACTGGGTGAGTGGACAGAGCAGAGTAGACTGGCCAGCCCACTTAAACAAAACCGTGTGTGTGTGTGTTCGTGTTCTGAAAGGTATTTCTTTCTCAGCATACATCCCAAGTCGTGGTGCAGTTTTGATTTGGCTAAATGTTGAGTTTCTACCAGAACGAAAGAATGGGAAAAAAACCCCTAGTTCAGATTTTTTAATTAAAATGTAAATGTGACATTTCCCAATATGTTCTGATTTCTTCATCTTGTCACTGAAACTACATTTCAGGAACTTCAAACCTTTGTGTCCCCATATTGGGCACATTTTACACTGTGTGAAAATATATAAACTACAGAAGAAGAGAGTCCCCAGATTTAGCCGTCCACCCGTTTTCATTCAAACCAGCATCATTCAATTACTTCAAAGGGTTCCATGTTTCTCTTATGGCAATGTGATGTTTCCGGGCCACCTTTTCTATATCAGCAGGACATGTGAAAAAGGATCTAGGTGTCTTAGTAGACCACAAGCTTAACATCACAGTCAAAAGAGTCAGGGGGGAAATGCTATCCTAGGCTGCAATAGAAGTATAATGTTCATATCTAGGGAAGTAATAAATCTGCTCTATTCTGCTTTGGCCAGACCCCACCTGAAGTCTTGTGTCCAGTTCTTGACACCAAAATTTAAGATGGATATTGTCAAACTGGATCGTGTGCAAAGGAGGGTTACCAAGATGATACAGGGTCTGGAAACCAAACATGAGGAACAGTTGAAGGGGTTGAGTATGCTTAGCCTGGAGAAGAGAAGACTGATAGGTGACAGGATAGCTATCTTCAGATATCTGAAAGGCTGTCACATGGAAGATGGAGCAAACTTGTTTTCTCCTGCTCCAGAGGATAGGACCTGAAATTCCAAATTCCAAGAAATGAGATTCTGATTAAAAAAATATGAAGACCTTTATGATGGTAAGAGCTGTTTGATAGTGGAATGGACTACCTCAGAAGGTGGTGGACTCTCCTTCATATGAGGTTTTTAAACAGAGGCTGGACAGCCACCTGTCAGCGATTCTAGTGTGATGCGGGAATCACAGCTAAAGGTGCGATTGAAGGTTATCTAGCTAGACAAGCCTGAGTTTATGGCTAGCCACATTTTTATCCAGTTGGGCAACACCACAATAAATGAATAGTCAGAGCCAAAAGCATTTAGATGGAAATCCCAGACAGCAATACATTTTTGTCACATGCAGGGTGACCTTGATCCCCAAACAATCTCCCTGGCCTGGCAAAAATCAGTCGTCACCCATGATGCATTAGTGAAAAGTATCCACTCTGCAAAATTATTCCACCTCAATCTCATCATGTCTTTGCCACTTCAAAAATAAGCATAATAATCTTTAGTTGTCCTAATCAGCTGCAGTTTTGTTCATTTATGCTAAATAATTGAAAAGCCATTTCTAAGAGGATAGATGATGTGTGATTCTTGGGGTTGATTTTCTGGGAAGTGACTGCCCAGGTACTTTAGAAGGTTACTACATCTGATTGAAGTCTCTTCCCCTTTATATAAGCAGCATAATTAATGCGGTTGTAATGAATTCAGGTGCTGCTGGTTTGTTACCTCGAGAGAGAGAGAAAAGTTATAAGAACAGTTTGAAATCTGAATTGGAAGGGGGGAGAAAAGGTCGTGATTAGTATTGATTGTGAAGTGCTGTATTTTGAATTAATGTGCCTCATGTAATAGTTGGCTGCCTTTGCTAATTTTTAGACAGAGCTGGCTCCATGCTGTCCAGCTGTGCATTGCACATCCAGGATAAAAGTTTCACAATTAGCTTGAAATCATAATCTTTGAACTGAAAAAATGTCCTAATCATGGCAGTGGGGAGAAAATATGCAGGAAATGTTTTTATTGAGAATTTGGTTTGGACGAAAAGCTGCACAGCATTCTTCATATGGAGGCAAACAGGACCATGAAACAGATACAGACAACATATGTAGTATTTCATTCCTGACTTTACATTGAAAATATATTTTCAGAGCTTATGCACTTTTTGTTCTATGGATGCTGACTTTTCTTCTAGCAGCTCTTGTGCTTTCGATACCTGAGTTACAGGCAGAATGTCCAAAGGCGAATTGTTTCCCACCATCACATATTGATGCCATGAAAAGATTTGACTACTCAGTTTCAACACATCATGTTTTCAAAGTCCAAGAACCTGAAAGATGCTGGCAAACCAGACTCTGGACCCTGTTCCTCTCTGTTTGTTGACTAATAAAGTGACCTGAATTTGCATTCATAGAATCATAGAGTTGGAAAAAATACCTAGTAGTCCAGCCCTCTGCAATGCAGGAATCTCAACCAAAGCATCCATGACAGATGGCCATCCACTCTCTGCTTAAAAACCTCCAAAATAGTGTGAAATCATATGAGATCTATCTAGCTATACTGTATGTCATGCTCAGAGAAGTCCCCTTGAAATTAATGGAGTTAAGCTAGACTGTGTGGCTCTGATTCACTTTATTATTGGGATTGAAATCTGATATATTAAGTCCAAAGCACTGTTTTGCCCCTATTGATTATAACAGGGAATCTAAAAATGGCAAACTCCTTTCCCCATATTCATATACAGTGTGGTTGAAAATTGCTCCAGCTCTGTTGCTCATGCCCTGCTCTCAGAGCCAAAACTCAGGGGAGAGCGACAACCTGTGGGTTTACTTCAACATTGCCCCCCCCAAATAACTGCAATTGGAATGTACTGGAAAATGAAGTCACTATGATTAAAAACTAGACCAGCTCATCAAAATGAAAGGTCACCCTTTCCATCCCTCCCCTCTCAAGTGCTATCAAGCTCTGGGTTTAATTTCTCAGGGAAAAAAGGGGTGGTGGGAAATTCTAAGAGGTGACATGATAAAAAGTTTAGGAAATAATGCATCGGGTAGAGAAAGTGGATAATATTTCTCTCTCTCTCTCTCTCTCTCTCTCTCTCTCTCTCTCTCATAACATTAAAACTTGAGGACATCCAATGAAGCTGAATGTTGGAAGATTCAAGACAGATAAAAGAAAATGCACAGTGGACCTCTCTCCCACACGAGGCATCGAGGGCCACTAACATGTATGGCTTTAAAAGAGGACTGGACAAATTTATGGAGGATAAGGCTATCAGTAGCTAATAGCCCTCCACAATTGGAGGCAGAAATGCTTCTGAATACCAATTGCTAGAAATTTCAGGAGGGGAGAGTGCCCATGTTCAGGTCCTGCTTATGTGTTTCCCACAGGCATCTGGTTGGCCACTGTGAGAAGGACGCTGGGCCAGATGGTTCATGGCCTCACCCAGCAGGTTTTTCTTATGTTCCTATGGACATGCCTTTATGGTAAAACTGAGGTAACAGTGCTACAAAAGTTGCTCACCCCCTGAGCTG